TATATACTGTGTTTTATGATAAAGCTAGAGAAAAGAAAATGTTATTAAAGTCATAAGAGAAAATACATTTATAGTACTATAACAGTATTTATTGAAAAAATCCACATGTAAGTGGACCTGCACAGTTCACACCCATGATGTTCAAGGGCCGACTTTTTAATTTTTTTTTTTTAGATTTTATTTATTTGAGAGAGAGAGAGAGCACAAGCAGGGGGAGCAGCAGGCAGAGGGAGAGAGAGAAGCAGGCTCTGCACTGAGCAGGGAGCCCACTGTGGGGCTCCATCCCAGGACCCTGGGATCGTGACCTGAGCCAAAAGCAACACTTACTCGACTGAGCCACCCAGGCGCCCCTTAAAGGGTTAACTCCATAGGACCTTGAGAAGGTCTTAAGATTTGAATTGTTTTTGTTTTTGCTTTGTTAAAGAGTATGAGCGGGGTTGGGGGGGAGGGTGGGAGGGCAGAGGGAGAGGGAAAAGAAGGAATCTTAAATAGATTCCACACCCAGCACAGAGCTCGATGGGCTCGATCCCACAATCCTGAGATCATGACCTCAGCTGAAATCAAGAGTCAGATGCTTCAACTGAGCCACCCAGGTGCCCCTGAAATTTTGTAAGCAATAGTGTCCTACATAATTAATGAATTTGAGCTACAGACTTGGTTTTCAAATTTTAGTAGTTATAATAAAGATACAAGAATGTTTCTCTGAGTTGCATTATCCAAAGGTAAAAGTGAATTAGTTCTTCATAGAAAGTAAATATTTCTTGGTCATTCTTAGATGAAGTCTTTGAATAAATGATACAGTGTGGGTAATGCCCTCAGAGAAATGTAGTAAATCCATGGGTCTTACAGTCATTTTTCATAGTTTTCCACAGAGTGTGACCCAAGGGGAAAATACCAAAGCACTTAGTAATCATAATTGCATATTTATGTACCTCTTTAATTGTGAAGCAGTATTCACATATGAAAAAGTACATAAAATGTAAAAGTACAGCATAATGAATTATTACCAACTGCATACCCATGAGGCCACCATTCAGGTCAAGAAGTAGAACATTCCCAGCCCAGGGCGCCTGGGTGGCTCAGTTGGTTAAGCGACTGCCTTCGGCTCAGGTCATGATCCTGGAGTCCCTGGATCGAGTCCCGCATCGGGCTCCCTGCTCGGCAGGGAGTCTGCTTCTCCCTCGGACCCTCCCCCCTCTCATGTGCTCTCTTTCTCATTCTCTCTGTCTCAAATAAATAAATAAAATCTTAAAAAAAAAAAAAAAAAAAGAACATTCCCAGCCCAAATGAGGCCTTTCGTGTGCCAGTCACAACCTCTCCCTCCTGACAGAGGGAACCGGGACCCCGACTTTTATAACCATTTCTGTGCTTCTCTTTCTAGTCTTACTCCTAAGTGTTCATCCTTAAACACTGCAGTTTGGTGTCATCTGCTGTAGTATATAGTGATTTGTGTTTTGTTTCTTTCACTTAAAATTTGTTTATGAGATCATTGCAAGTGCAGCTTTCTGTCCCGTGAAGGCAGCTTCTTAATATCACCGAATTCAGTCAGTGTTCAGAATTCCAGTTGTCTCCTAAAACCCCAAATCGTTTGAAGTTTGGGTCAGAATCTGGGTACAGTTCATACAGTGTAATTGGTTGATCTGCCTCTCTTAAGTCCCTCTTAACCTATTGGCTCTTTTTTCCTAGCCCCATTTTTAAAAAAAAGATTTTATTTATTTGAGAGAGAGAGAGAGAGCAAGAGAGAGCACTGAGCTGGGAGGAGAGGAAGAAGCAGGCTTTCCACCTGAGCAGGGAGCCCGATGCGGGACTTGATCCCAGGACCCTGGGATCCTGACCTGAGCCGAAGGCAGACGCTTAACGACTGAGCCACCCAGGCGCCCCGAGGCCAGGTGATTTATTCTGTGGATTTCCCACTGTCTGGGTTTTGCTAGTGTTGCTGGCGTGTTCTGTGTCTCCTGCAGGGCATAGATGTGGAGCTGTGCTGTCCAGTACAGAAGCTGCCAGCCACATCACCTGTTTAAAATGATTAAATCTAGCCCCGAGTCACACTGGCCTCATTTCAGGTACTCAGAAGCCACGAATTAGCATAGATAAAGAATATCTCCATCTTCACAGATCTGCTCTGGAGACTTGATCAGATTCAAGTGTGACTTTTTTTGGCAAGAGTATTTCAGAGGTTTTGGTACATGGTCTTTCAGGAGGCAACTTCCATCTGCTTGTCCCTTTGTCATGCCAGCAACTTTATATGGTTGTTGCCTTGATGGATTATTTCATTAGGGGCTACAAAGTGATACCCTGCTTCTACCTGCTCTTTGTTTCCCCCCTCCACTTCTTTGTTAATTAATTAATTTTTATGTATTTTTTAAAGATTTTATTTGAGAGAGAGGGAGGGAGAGAGCACAAGCAGGGGGAGGGGCAGAGGCAGAAGCAGGCTCCCTACTGAGCAGGGACGTGGGGCTCGATCCTAGGACTGCGGGATATTGACCTGAGCCGAAGGCAGATGCTTAACTGACTGAGCCACCCAGGCACCCCTAATTAATTTATTTTTAAAAAATTATATTGGGTGCCTGGGTGGCTCAGGGTCCTGAGATCAAGCCCTGTATTGTGCTCCCTGCTCAGCGAGAGACCTACTTCTCCCTCTCCTGCTCCCCCCTGCTTGTGTTCCCTCTCTCTCTGTCAAATAAATAAATAAAATCTTTTAAAAAAGATTTCATTTATTTGAGAGAGAGAGAAAGCACGAGCAGGGGGAGGGGCAGAGGGAGAAGCAGACTCCCCACTGGGATGCGGGGCTCGATCCCAGGACCCCAGGATCATGACCCGAGCCGAAGGCAGACGCTTAACCAACTGAGCCACCCAGGCGCAGTATCCTACTGAGTTTTGTTATCAAGGTTATGCTTGTATCAAAAAGTTTAGGGTTGTGGAGCGCCTGGGTGGCTCAGTTGGTTAAACGACTGCCTTCGGCTCAGGTCATGATCCTGGAGTCCCGGGATCGAGTCCCGCATCGGGCTCCCTGCTCGGCAGGGAGTCTGCTTCTCCCTCTGACCCTCCTCCCTCTCATGCTCTCTGTCTCTCATTCTCTCTCTCGCAAATAAATAAAAATCTTAAAAAAAAAAAATTTAGGGTTGTGTTTTTGCTTCCATCTTCCATAGTTGTTTAGTAAAATAGGAATTATTTCTGCATTAAATGTCTACAGAATTAACTAGTAAAGCTGTTTTTTTGTGAGAAGACTTTAAGTTAGAGATTCTGTACTTCGGCTTGGCTCATCTTTAAGAGACGACCAGCTGATTAGTTTTGGTGCAGTATTCGAGAAGAATATCTATAGTTAACTAATTATCATTGTTTGTAGTATTTTAAAAATTTTCTTCATACGCAGTCCTGCCATCGGTGGCAGTTTTATCTCTTCCTTCTGATATTTGTACTTGTTCCTTGCATTTGTTGTACTGGCCAGGACCTCCAGGATGCCTGTTGCCCCCCTCCTCTCAGCCTGCCTTGTTTCTGTCTGGTGCATTCCAGGGCTCATTTATGACAACGTCTGCCGTTAGCACCGCCTCTGCAAGTTAAGGACACAGCCCCCAACAAGACCGCCCTCACTTCCGTGGTCAGCTATAAGTTCTGGGGTCCCCAGGCCACCTGCATTTCTGACCAAGTGGCTACAAATTTGGGGGCTTCCCATGATCCCTTCAGGTTTGCTGGAACAGCTCACAGAACTTACAGAAGTGCTGTACATACAATTACATTTTGAGTGTAAACGACACAGATTGGAAGCAGCCAAGTGAACAGACACAGAATGAGGTCTGGGGGGTTGCGGAGGTGGAGCTTCTCTGCCCTGTCCCCATGGAACCAGGACACATCACCCTTGTGGCACGTAGCTTTGTGCTTCCCAACCAGGAAGCTAACTTAAGGTTCCAATGTCCAGTTTTCTTTTTTTTGTTTGTTTAGATTTTATTTATTTATTAGCTGGAACGGGGGTGGGGAGGAGCAGAGGCAGAGGGAGAAGCAGGCTCCCTGCTGACGGGGGCCCTGACGTGGGACTCGATCCCAGGACCCTGGGATCATGACCTGAGCCAAAGACCGACCCTTAACCCACTGAGCCACCCAGGCGCCCCTCTACAGTTTTTATTGGGGATTCATTATGTAGATGTGATTTATTGACTCACTGGCCATATGAGTGAACTCAATCTCCTCCCCTTCCTTGACGTTGGGCTCATATCATCAGACTCAGAACACCAACCCTCTAATCAAATGGTTGATCTTACCAGCCGGTGCCCATCTAGAACACTATCTAGGAGCCCACTGTGAGTCACCTTTTTTTGTGAGAAGCATAAACTCAGGAGGAGCCCGTCATGAACTACGAAAACACTCTGTCACTGGGGAAATAACAAGACTTTAACATTTTTTAAGAGAGAGAAAGAGAGAGAGAGCGTGTGCATGTGTCCTTGGCAGGGTGGGGGGCGGAGGGAGAGATAATCCTAAGCAGGCTCCACACTCAGCGAGGAACCTGACATGGGGCTTGCTTGACCTCACGACCCTGAGATCATGTCCTGAGCCGAAATCAAGAGTCAGAGGCTTTTAACCGACTGAGCCACTTGGGTGCCCTCAAATAACAAGGCTTTAAAAGCTCTGTCCCAGGAACCTGAGACAAAGACCAGACAAATTATTATGCAGTGGGTTGCCATTAGGTAACTGTGCTGTTCAATTACTTAAACGTAAGTAAAATTAAAAGGGGAACCCTCTTACAGTCTTGGTGGGAATGCAAACTGGTGCAGCCACCCTGGAGAACAGTATGGAGGTTCCTCAAATAGTTAGAAATAGAACTATCTTATGATTCAGCAATTGCACTACTAGATATTTATCCAAAGGATACAAACAGGGGCGCCTGGGTGGCTCAGTCGGTAAGCGTCTGCCTTCGGCTCAGGTCGTGATCCCAGGGTCCTGGGATCGAGCCCTGCATCGGGCTCCTTGCTCGGCGGGAAGCCTGCTTCTCCCTCTCCCACTCCCCCTGCTTGTGTTCCCTCTGTTGCTGTGTCTCTCTCTGTCAAATAAATAAATAAAAAATTAAAAAAAAAAACAAGGGATACAAACATAGTGATCTGAAAGGACACCTGCACCCCAATGTTTATAGTAGCAATGTCCACAATAGCCAAACTATGGAAATAGCCCAAGTGTCCATAGACTGATGAATGGATAAAGATGTGTGTATACACACACACACACACACACACACTCTGGAACGTTGCTCAGCCATCAAAAATGAAATCGTGCCATTTGCAGCAACGTGGTTGGAACTAGGTGGTATTTTCGCTAAGCGAAATAAGTCAGAGAAAGACAATTACATGATTGCACTCATGGAATTTAAGAAACAAAACAGATGAACATAGGGGAAGGAAAGGAAAAATAAGATAAAAACAGGGAAGCAAACCCTAAGAGACTCTTTCTTTAATTATTTTATTTTAAAATTTTTTTGAAGATTTTATTTATTTGACAGCACAAGCAGGTGGAGCAGCAGGCCGAGGGAGAAGCAGACTCCCCACTGAGCAGGGAGCCCGATGCGGGACTCGATCCCAGGACTCTGGAATCATGACCTGAGCTGAAGGCAGACGCTTCAGTAACTGAACCACCCGGTGCCCCCCATAAGAGACCCTTAACTCTAGGGAACAAACGGTTGCTGGGGGGGAGGTGGGTGGGTGGATAGGATAATATAATTGGGTGATGGGCATGAAGGAGGGCACTTGATGTAATGAGTGCTAGGTGTTACACGTAACTGATGAATCACTAAATTCTGCTCCTGAAACTAGTAATACAGTATATGCTAACTGAATTTAAATTAAAAATAAAATCCTTTCCTAGTCACCTTTGAAGTATTCAGTAGATGTTTGTGGCTAATGGCTACCTTGTTGGATGGTGCAGATACAGAACATGTAAGTCATCACAAAAAATTCTTTTGGACAATGTCCTTCTTGTCCTCTGAGAGCGAGTATTCAGAATTTCATCATTAAGTATGATGTAGCTGTAGATGTTTGTAGATTATGATTACAAGTTCTATTACTAGTTGACAGTATTTTACAATGAAGACATTTTCATCATATGCCTTTTCCACATCTGTTGAAATAATGGTTTTTCTCCCTTATTCTGTTAATATGATTTATTGATTTCTGAATGCTAACCCCATCTTGCACTGCACGTCACATTATGCTGTTTTTATACATGGCTTGATTCAACTTGCTAATTTTTTGTTAGGAATTTTGATTCTGTTAGAGTTATTTGCCCGTGATGTTCATTTATTATGTTTTTGTTTGGTTTGGTCTGCTGGCCTTATACAGCCAGTTGAGAAGTTTGCACTCAGGAGGAATTTCTGTGAGGTTATTTTATTTATTCCTTAAATGATTGGAAGAATTTACCTCTGGAGCCACCTAGACTTGGGGTTTTCTTTGAAGGAAGGTTTTAAATTGTGGAGGTCAGTGTCTTTAACATTTACAGAATTAATTCAGACTTTTATCTTGTGTCATTTTCGAGTGCATTGTTTGAATATCTCTTTTACCTAAGTTGTCAGATACATTGGTATATCTTTACTACTTTCACGTTATCCTTTTTAACAGCTTTTCTGAACTGTGACTTCAGTAGGGTCTACCCAGTTTACGTGTGTAAGTCAGTGATTTTTCTGGTAATTTTATGTTGTGTTTACCATCATTCCAGCTTTAGAAGTTCTGCTTCATCCGCAGGGGACCTGGTGATTTTGCAGTCAGTCCCTGTTTCCACCCGCAGTGGAGGCAACCACTGGTTTCCTTACTCTCATTTCACATCAGTGGGTTTGTATAATGTGGGTCCTTCCGTGTCTGGCTTCTCTCATCAGCGTAGGGTTTTGAAGTCCATCCATATTTTGGCACATGTCAGAAATTCATTCTTTTTACTAGTGTTCCATTCTGTGGGTGTTCCCTGTCTTTTTACACGTTCACCACTTGCTGGGCATCTGGATTATAAACACATCCCGGTGGTTGTAAGTCCTCTCGTGGGGCAATCGTGTACATGGTTCATATGAATATAGGTTTTCCTTTCTCTTGGGAACATGCCTGAGCGTGTCCTTGCTGCATTGTCTGGTAAAATTATATTTAACCTTTTTAAGAAACTGCCACAGTCCCGTAGTGTCAGAACCATGTTATATCGTTGTTCAGTTCCAGTTTCTCCACATCTTTTCCAACACTTGTTATCGTCTGTCTTGTTGATTATCAGCATGCTGGTGAGTGTCACGTGGTTTCTCATTGTGGTCTTAATTTGCTTTTCCTTAATAATTAGTGATGTTGGTCACTGTTTCATTGCTGCTTATTAGCCATTCCTAAGTCTTCTTTGATAGAATGTATTAAAATAGTCTACCAGTTTTTATTTTTATTTCAAAAAATTTTAAAGTAGGCTCCTCGCCCAACGTGGAGCTTGAATGCTTGACCCTGAGATCAGGCATCATCTGCTCCACTGTCTGAGCCAGTCAGGCATGTGCTGCCTACTTTTTAACTGTTTGTTTGTTTGTTTTTTGTAAGAGGTTTTCCTTTAAGTTCTGAGTCTTTTTTGTTGTTGTTGTTTTGTTTTTTAATCAGAAATAGGATTTGCAAATAATTTTTCCTGTCTGTGGCTTACCATTTCATTTTTCATTTGTGTGGTTTGAAGTGCAGCAGTGTTAAATTTTGTGTTGCTCCTTGGAAAGGCATGTGGAAACCACCACTGTCTGGGTGCTCTCCTGTTGCAGCCCGGCGGGCCTACTGAAGACCCCAGCAGGAGATGCACAAACATACCTCAAAGAATGCAAGAGGAGACGAGCATGTGTCATATTTGCAGGGATTCTTAACTCTTGCACCGCTGAGTTACCTGCTGGTGCTCTTTGCACTAGTTAACCCTTTCACAGCAGGTCTCTTACCCTGAAGGCGCTTAGGTTTTTTTCATAAGAGAAAATGTTCTTATTTCACAGTTATTCCTGATGAATATTTAAGTTGGCTACAAAATCCTTTCCTTTCAGCACTTTTAAAATGTCCTACTTTCTTCTGGCCTCTATGCTTCTGAATAAGAGATCTGCAGTCATTTGAATTGCTTTCCCTGTAAGTGACGTGACTTCTTTCTTTGTATTCTGTCCCGTTTGATCATGGCATGTTTGGTTGTGGCTTTCTTCATGTTTATCCAGGGGGGGTTCACTGAGTTTCCTGAATCTGCCAACTTATGCCTTTTGCCACGTTTAGGGAGTGTGTAGCTGTCATTTGCTTTGTCCGCCACGTTCCTGCTTTTCTCTTCCTGGGACTCCCGGGACATGCATTTGGTGTTGTCTGGCAGTGTCCTGAGCCCTGAGTGTCTGAAGCGCATTTTTAAGTCTTTTTTTCTCTCATTTGCTCAAAATGGGTCTTCAGGTTCGCTGGCTCTTAAAGTGTATGAGGTGCTGTTTAGGTCAGGCTTTGTATTTTCTGATGGTATTCTGGATTTTTTAGAGTGCGTGTTTTCTGGTCCTCTCAGGAGGCTTTGGGACAGAATCCATCATGACCTAAAATCCAGAACCCTTTCTGAGACCTAGATTTGGTTATGTCACTCCCATTCCATGAAATCATGGCTAGCTGTTGGCAGCAAGAAAGTGTCTAGCTCAGGGGCGCCTGGGTGGCTCAGTCGGTTGGACATCTGACTCTTGATTTCGGCTCAGGTCCTGATCTCAGGGTTGTGAGATTGAGCCCCGTGTCAGGCTCTGTGCTCAGTGGGGAGTCGGCTTGAGATTCTCTCTCTCTCTGCCCATCCCCCCCCAAGCTCGCTCGCTCTCAAATCTTTAATTAAAAAAAGAAAGAAAAACTGTCTAGTTCGTTTAAGTACAGTAGGCCCCACCTCCCATGTGGCCTTTAATCGCTGCCTTGCACCCTGTGATCTTGTCTAACAAACTGTTTGCACCTCCTGAATGCTAGCAGTTTTGGGGTCTCATTGGAGCTGTTGGCTCCCAGAATGTCTTTGCATCCCCATTTTTGTGGAAAGCACTGCTAATTTCCTAAAATCCATCTCAAGCTTTACCTCTTGCAAAGAGCCTAAGCTGATGCTCAAATTGATCGTTTTTTTTTTTTTAAAGATTTTATTTATTTAACAGAGAGAGACACAGCGAGAGAGGGAACACAAGCAGGGGGAGTGGGAGAGGGAGAAGCAGGCTTCCCGCCGAGCAGGGAGCCCGATGCGGGGCTCGATCCCAGGACCCTGGGATCATGACCTGAGCTGAAGGCAGACGCTTAACAACTGAGCCACCCAGGTGCCCCAGAAAACAAAATCTTTTTTTTTTTTTTAAAGATTTTATTTATTTATTTGACAGAGAGAGACACAGCGAGAGAGGGACACAAGCAAGGGGAGTGGGAGAGGGAGAAGCAGGCTTCCCGCTGAGCAGGGAGCCCGATGTGGGACTCGATCCCAGAACCCTGGGATCATGACCCGAGCGGAAGGCAGACGCTCAACAACTGAGCCACCAGGCGCCCCAAACTGATCGCTTGGACCCACATTGTGCCCTCCCTTCATTTCTGCCTCTGCTGTTATAATAGCTTATTTTGTGAATACGTGTGTGTGTTTGCCGCCCTCTGCAAGGCTGTGCAGCTTTTTAGGGTGTTGTTTTGCTCTCTTTCTTTTGATACCACTTTTCTGGTGCCATAGTTGAGGTTCAGTACACATTTTGTTGGTGGTTCAGAAGATTTAAAATTGCCAATTCCAGTTGTCAGGTATTGTATGAATGGAGGGATGGAAGAGTGCATTGTGGCACTTTATCCCAGAGACATAATGCGAAGGAGACCGTCGTCATTCTCTGCACCTTGGTGTGATGAGAATGATGTGCTCAAGCTCCAGTCCTCCCTTCCCACGTCACACAGTGATTGTTGCTTCAGATTCACTGGGACTGTGCTCTTACAGGACACATTCTCGTTTGAAGATTTATCTGTGGACTTCACCCAAAAGGAATGGCAGCTCCTGGACCCCAGTCAGAAGGACTTGTACAAGGATGTCATGTTGGAGAACTACAGTAGCCTCGTGTCTCTGGGTAAGGCAGCTCCCCGAGGACCACCGGTGGGGCCCAGCACCTTACTTTTTGAGTTGCTGAGAGCTCTGTGGCTTCTGAAATCTCTAATGGTTTTGGACCTGAATTCAGGGGATTGAAAGTTCCCTGCACTATGACAGTAGGGAAGGCGTCTACATCTCATCTTCAAATAACGAAGACTTATTTTCGTTGTGCGGCTCTGAAACTTACCAGGATGGTGGTCTTGGTAGTGGGCAACACCTAATGCAAGGAACTTACTGTATTTCACATACTGTTCACATGTGGACTTATTTACAGAGCAGTTTTGTGTGGCAGGTTTAAGTAACTCTCCCAGGGACTGACAGCTGGTAGATGAAAGGGCCTGGATTTGAACCCAGGCAGACTGGCTCCAGAGCCTCTGAAGAGTGTAATGGTTTTGGATTTGGATTATAGAAGTCAAAGATTTTTATTTTTTTTTAGATTTTATTTATTTATTTGACACAGAAAGAGACAGCGAGAGAGGGAACACAGCAGGGGGAGTGGGAGAGGGAGAAGCAGGCCTCCAGCTGAGCAGGGAGCCCGATGCAGGGCTCGATCCCAGGACCCTGGGATCATGACCCGAGCCGAAGGCAGACGCTTAACGACTGAGCCATCCAGGCGCCCCAGAAGTCAAAGATTTTTAGACCCCATTAGCCACCAGGGAGACCGTTGCCTTTGAGAATTACTTACTCCGTTGATACACCAGTGAGTAGCTTCACTGTCCGCCTGATGCCAGACTTTGCTCATTCTTCAGAGGCCCTAAAGCCCAAGCAGTCGGGGCCATGGCTTTGTGTTTTCCCCTAAACAGGGTACGAAGTTACGAAACCTGATGTCATCTTCAAGTTGGAGCAAGGAGAAGAGCCGTGGATCGGAGATGGAGAAGTTCCAAGTACAGATCGTCCAGGTGGGTGTGAGAACCAGCCAGATGCGGGAGGCAGAAGGTCAGTCTCAGCTGGCCAGTGGGTTGACTTCTGTGAATTGTGCTTTGGAGAGCTCTCTTTAAGATCTGTAAACCTTTAGGGATGATTCAGAACAGGTGACACGAGCTGCTCAAATAAGTCACATTTAGATGTGGCTTCTTCGCTTGTAGCTTAACGCAAAATATCTACAGCTCGTCTGGGCCATGACTTACTCCCTGTCCTTCAAGTCTGGGACTTTGACTTCTTGTTTGGTGTTCTGACACATTTAGTCTCCTTCTGTCCTCTGTTCACCTCTGCTTGTACCTTCAGGAGGTTTCCTTTGCCCTCGTTTGGGCGTCTGATGCCCAGAGAAGTGCCCCGTGGAGCAGAAAAGGAAGTCCTCCCTTATTCCTCCCAAACGGTGGTCCTTTTCCTCCTTTTGTAAGGTTGGCTTCTGCTGTACTTTACCTGTAGATTAGACACCATGGAGTGTATTGAATGTTCTCTCTTGCATTCTTATTATTTAATTCTCTTGCCCTTTGGAAACTATCTTTTTTTTTTTTTTTAAGATTTTATTTATTTGAGAGAGAGTGAGAGAGAGGGTGCTCGAGAGGGGGTAGGGTCAGAGGGAGAAGCAGACTCCCCACTGAGCAGGGAGCCCGATGCTGGACTCGATCCTGGGACTCCAAGATCATGACCCGAGCCGAAGGCAGTCGCTCAACCAACTGAGCCACCCAGGTGCCCCTGGAAACTATCTTTTTAACTTAACTCCTCAAGTCCCACTTAAAACTAGGCTTGATGGGTCCAGAGCCTTACCTTTTATAAGTGTTCTCAAATGATACCTTGTATTTCAGTTCCTAAAGCAGCCAGCTGTCTCTGATCTGTCATACATCCCTACTCATCTGTGTGACATTGACTTCAGGTTCCCTCGGAAGCAGACCCTGAGATACGTATCTGAGTGCCAAGAATTTACTGTAGTGGGAGAAAGAGCAGTGAGATGGGGGTGGAGAGGGAATGGCGGTGTGCATGTTGGAAGGGGTGCTGACCCATGGTGGCTGCTGGGAGCCCCTGTGGGGCCAGGAAGCTGGTCATCCACTAACTCCCATCTCTCAGGGTGTGAGCATTGCCCTGGGGGTGTTAACTCTCCAGAATGTCCAGAATCCCGGCATACAGACCAAGCATGCCGTGTGTGGCCTAAGGATTGTTTTGGGCAGAGAGATGTGGGTGCCTGGGGTAGGTCCCACAGTCTGCCCAGGGCATCCCTCTGAATGTAGCTGAGGCAGCAGAGTATCTGCTACAGCTGGTGACCTCTTCCTCCGGGACCGACAGTCTGGGTCTGTGTAGGCCGTCAGCTGTTGACCCTCTCCCCCCACTTCATGGTCAACGCCATTTAAACATTTCTCTGTGTTTTCACATGTAATATTTATTCTTCTCTGCATCTGAGTGTTTGATTGTGCTATGCTTTATCTTCATCCTTTCTGCATAAGCTCTGTTTTTGCTGCATTCATACTCATGGAATGTTCTTGACTGTTCCAGCTAAATTTTTCTCACTTTTTTTTGGAAGTCCCATCTCAGACCTGATCACAGTGTATGTAATGTTCTTTAGTTGGTTGGGTCCCTGAGCTGTGTGCATGCATAAACACAAGGTTTATAGTTTATATCCACTTATGTGTCACAATATTCAATAAGCCCATTGTTTTAATTCAGGTGTTTTTAGCCAGGTGTGCATTAGATTACCTGGGCATTTTTTTTCCCAACAATAAGCATTATGGATGCATTATCAGCAAAATTGATTCAGTAGAGTGGTGTGTATGTAGTTTTAAAATGGAATATTCTAGAACTGGAGTTTGTAGTTTGAGGAACCTCTTGTAATTTTTATGTGCCCCTCATTCATCGATAGCGTCCACTTGAGTGACGACTAAAGATAATTAAAAATAAAAGACCTAGAAAACACCTTACAGAAGCGTAGAAATTAAAGACATTTGTGGGGCGCCTGGGTGGCTCAGTCCGTTAAGCACCTGCCTTAGGCTCAGGTCACGATCCCGGGTCCTGGGATCAAGTCCTGCATCGGGCTTGTTGCTGGGCGGAGAGCCTGCTTCTCCCTCTGCCTCTGCTGCTCCCCCTGCCTGTGCTCTCTCTCTCTGGCAAATAAATAAATAAAATCTGTAAAAAAAAAAAAAAAAAAAAAGTTAAGACATTTGCATTTAGGTTTTTTTGTTTTTTTTAAATTCAGGATTTAAATATTGGACATTTATGCTTCACTGCAACATAGTCAAAGTTACCTAAACAAGGCCTGTGTGTCAGGGTCCTCAAGACCACCACGTTCGGAGAGTCGCTAGGAGGACTCAGGATATCGTTGTCTGTAAGGCTAAGACTTACTACAGTGACCTAATGACAGCTTCCTCACCAGGGAAAGGGCAAAGCAGAGTCTGGAGGAATCCGGGTGTAGGTTTCCTGTGCTGCTCCCTCCGTGAGGGTCACCCAGCAACAAAAATGCAGTAATGTGGGTAGTGTTTCTGCCCAGGGACGCCCACTGACGACCCAGCACCCGGGGACCTCGCCTGGCACATAGCGGCATTGCAGACTCCCAGGACGGCAGGCGCTCAGCACAGACCACCTTGTTTCTGTGCACAGTCCAGGCGCGGGTTGCCCCTGTTAAAAGCTGGGAGTGGTGGGAACACTCTAGAAACCAAGCTCCAAATGGCAGCCAAGGGCTACATTGCAGTCGTGTGTCGTAGAAAGTTGAAGACATGGTGATGTCTCTTACTCCAGGTATTGTGCTGGGAGGTATGGGTACAATAGTGAACATCAGAGGTCAGTTGCCTGCCTACAGAGTGCTAACTTTCTCATGGGAGGATAAAACTAATCAAGTTGGCAAATAACCAGGGTAAAGCCCAGATCCTAAAAGGCCTATTATAGAAATAAATTAGGTAGATGATAATAGGGTAGAGAGTTTGTGGCTCTGCTCAGGCTGCCATAACAAAATAGCACAGATGGGTAAACAGCAGCAAGCTATTCCCACAGTTGGGGAGGCTGGAAGTCCAAGGTCAAGGTGCCTGCCTGATTGTGTTCTAATGAACGCGGTCCTCCTGGTTTGTAGACAGCCGCCTTGTAGCCTTATAGCTTTGCCGCCACATGGCCTCTCTTTGTGCAGGGAGTGGGGGGTGGTGAGGTGTTTCTAATTAGGATACTAATCCTTTTGGATCAGGGCCCCACCCTTATGATCTCATTTAACCTTAATTCCGTTGAGATCCCGTTTCCAAATGCAGCCACACTGAAGGTTAGGGCTTCAACATAGAGTTTTGGGGGCGGGCAGGTAGCGGGGACGCGTAAACATTCAGTCCACAATATGGTCATGTGGAGAAGCCAGTTCTAGATGTGAAGACCAAAGTGAGTGAGCTATGTGAATTGGGGGAAAGTGTTCCCTAAATGAATGCAGATATGAATGTATTAGGTCAGGAAGGGGCTTGGTGACCTCAGGAAAACGGAAAGGAAGCCTTTGTGTCTGGGGCTTAGTGTGCCAGGGAAATAGAGGCTGGCCTGTGTGGGGGACCTAGGTCGTACATGGACTTGTAAGCAGTAGGCAGGTGGTTAGACTGATGCAAGTAATTTTAAATAAAAATAGTTATCTGATTTACATTTTTTAAAAAAAGATTTATTTGGGCACCTGGGTGGCTCAGTTGGTTAAGCGACTGCCTTTGGCTCAGGTCATGATCCTGGAGTCCTGGGATCGAGTCCCACATCGGGCTCCCTGCTCAGCAGGGGGTCTGCTTCTCCCTCTGACCCTCCTCCCTCTCTCATGCCCTCTGTCTCTCATTCTCTCTCTCGCAAATAAATAAAATCTTAAAAAAAATAAAAATAAAATAAATAAAAAAAGATTGATTTATTTGAGAGAGAGCACGTGCGAGTGGGGGAAAGGGCAGAGGAGTCGGAGAGGGAGACAGACAGACCCCCTGCTGAGCACAGGGCCCTGTGTGGGGCTCAGTCCCACGACCCTGAGATCATGACCTGAGCCGAAACCAGGAGTTGGACACTTAGCCAGCTGAGCCACCCAGGAGCCCCCTGATTTACATTTTTAGAAGTTTGATTTAACTGCATTGTGGAAAATATAATGGGAAGCAGGGAAACCAGGTGGAAGGCTGTTTCACTGAGCTAATGAGATAGATTAAAGTATAGCAGGGAAGAGTGGTGGGGAGAGACCAAACATAAAGCAGTCCAATTTTTCTAGTGGGGAAAAAAGTAAAAATTTCCAAATGTGTGTGTGTGTGTATGTATGTATGTATTTATTTATTTAAAGATTTTATTTATTTATTTGACAGAGAAAGACACAGCGAGAGAGGGAACTCAAGCAGGGGGAGAGGGAGAAGCAGGCTTCCCGCTGAGCAGGGAGCCGGATGTGGGGCTCAATCCCAGGACCCTGGGATCATGACCTGAGCCGAACGCAGCTGCTTAATGACTGAGCCACCCAGGAGCCCCTCCAAATGTGTATTTAGTCTAACAATGTAATATTTAAAGTAATGCAAAGTTGTAAGTTTAATTTATAAATACTTCATTTTCTGCTCTCACATCTCCTATTACCACTTTATTCAGACTCTTAACCTCCATCTCAAAGCTAATGTTTCCATACTAGACTCTGATTTTAACTGCCAGACCTCTTTTCCCCTCATCCCCTATCTTAGGGTATTTTCAGTGAAAGAACATATGGATCTGGGGCGCCTGGGTGGCTCAGTCATTAAGCATCTGCCTTCGGCTCAGGTCAGGATCCCGGGGTCCGGGGATCGAGTCCCACATCGGGCTTCCTGCTCCGCGGGAAGCCTGCTTCTTCCTTTCCTACCCCCCCTGCTTGTGTTCCCTCTCTCACTGTGTCTCTCTCTGTCAAATAAATAAATAAAATCTTAAAACAAACAAACATATGGATCTTAAGGTTTTGTGCCTGAACAGGTTAAATGGAAGATGATGCGTTCCATGAAGTGGCTTTTATGGTAATAATGTTGAAAATGTGCTTGGAAAGTTTCAGACTTCCAGAAAATTTAAAAATGGGGAAAAGCTCACAAACGATTTCTCATTCTTCAAGCTTGAAATGGCTTCAGTAGTTCCTCTATCAAACCTGTTAATTTTCTGTCTTCCCATTAGAATGTAAGCTTTGCAAGGTCAGGGACTGACTGTCTCCTGTCCCCAGTGCTTTGCACACTCAGTCAGGGTGGAGGAAACTCACTCCTCAGAATATTGTTGGATCAGTTCTTCTTCCATCCTCCTTTCTTTGTTCCTCTTCAGTCTTGATGAATTTTTTACATTTTATAAACCTAGATTTGACAGCAACCAGAGGTGACTTAGTATACTGCCTTATCTTATTCCTATTTATAACATTTTCTTTTCTTTTTGCCCCCAAATACCCAGAGGATAGATCTTATACTTGGGACTGAGAGACAGCCTTCCAAAGCGTTCATCCCCGCAAATAGCATTGCTGGTTTTGTATTCTGTAAACAACCATAGAAGAGGCGCCTGGGGGGCTCAGTCAGTTAAGCGTCCAACTCTTGGTTTTGGCTCAGGTCATGATCTCAGGGTCATAGGATTGAGCCTTGTGTTTGGGCTCCACACTCATCGGGGAGTCTGCTTGAGATTCTCTCCCTTTGCCCTTCCTCCTACTTTCGTGCATGCTCGCTCTCTCTTTCTCTAAAATAGATAAATAAATCTTAAAGAAAAACATAACCATGGAAGCATTCACAGGGTTTTCTTTCTTTATAGAACAAGTCTTGCAAGTAGATGGTCACATGACATGGCACCAGGATAACCAAGAGAAGCTTAGAAATATGAAACAAGATCATGAATGTGATACATTTGGAAAAAAATTCAATCTGAGCATGAACTTTGTTCCTTTAATGAAATCAAACAGTGAAGATGATGTAGATGGATTACTTTTAAAACATCACTTAGATTTACTTATTCCAAAAGCAGATTATGAAAAAGTGGAACCACACGGCTTAAGTGTATTTGATAAATTGTTTCTTCATACTAAGCCTGAGGAAGCTAATACTTGGTTAAAATACTATGACTATGATAAATATGATAAAATTAGCTCTAAGAAGTCACAGATTATCATATATCATAGAACTCGTTTAGGGGAGAAACTCTATGAATGCAGTGAATGTAGGAAACGCTTCAGTAAGAAAGCGAGTCTCATTAAGCATCAGAGCAGACATGTAAGAGAGATTGCCTTTGGCTGTGGTAAGTGTGGCAAAACCTTTCCCCAGAAGTCACAGTTTATTACTCATCACAGAACTCATACGGGAGAGAAACCTTATAACTGTGGCCAGTGTGGGAAAGCCTTCTCCCAGAAGTCGCAGCTCACATCCCATCAGAGAACACACACAGGAGAGAAACCATACGAATGTGGTGAATGTGGGAAAGCCTTCTCCCGGAAGTCACATCTCATCTCACATTGGAGGACACACACAGGTGAAAAACCCTACGGGTGCAATGAGTGTGGGAGGGCCTTTAGTGAGAAGTCAAATCTTATTAACCATCAGAGAATTCATACAGGAGAGAAACCTTTTGAATGCAGAGACTGTGGGAAAGCTTTCAGCAGGAAGTCACAGCTTGTTACACATCACAGGACTCACACAGGAACAAAACCCTATGGATGTAGTGATTGTAGAAAAGCCTTCTTTGAGAAATCAGAGCTCATTAGACATCAGACAATTCATACTGGAGAGAAGCCCTACGAATGCAGTGAATGTCAGAAAGCCTTCAGAGAGCGGTCGAGTCTCATTAACCACCAGAGAACTCACACAGGAGAGAAGCCTCATGTGTGCATTCAGTGCGGGAAAGCCTTCTCCCAGAAGTCGCATCTCATATCCCATCAGATGACACACACAGGAGAGAAACCCTTCGTATGCAGTAAATGTGGGAAAGCCTTCAGCAGGAAATCTCAGCTTGTTAGACATCAGAGAACTCACACAGGAGAAAAACCCTATGAATGCAGTGAGTGTGGGAAGGCTTTCAGTGAAAAATTGAGCCTTACTAATCATCAGAGAATTCATACAGGAGAAAAACCCTATGTGTGCAGCGAGTGTGGGAAGGCCTTTTGTCAGAAGTCACATCTCATATCCCATCAGAGGACTCACACAGGAGAGAAACCCTATGAATGCACTGAATGTGGGAAAGCCTTTGGTGAGAAGTCAAGTCTTGCAACTCACCAGAGAACTCATACAGGAGAAAAACCATACGGTTGTAGGGATTGTGAAAAAGCCTTTTCTCAGAAGTCACAGCTGAATACTCACCAGAGAATCCACACAGGAGAGAAACCCTACGAATGCAGTCTTTGTAGGAAGGCTTTCTTTGAGAAATCAGAGCTAATTAGACATCAAAGAACTCATACAGGAGAAAAGCCATACGAATGCAGCGAGTGTGGGAAAGCCTTCAGGGAGAAGTCCAGCCTCATCAATCATCAGAGAACACACACAGGCGAGAAACCCTTCGAGTGCAGTGTGTGTGGCAAAGCCTTTTCTCGGAAATCACACCTCATACCACATCAGAGGACACACACTGGGGAGAAGCCCTATGGCTGCAGCGAATGTAGGAAGGCCTTTTCTCAGAAGTCACAGCTTGTTAATCACCAGAGAATTCACACAGGAGAGAAGCCCTACCAATGCCACGAATGTGGGAAAGCCTTCTCCCAAAAGTCACAGCTCATTAATCACCAGAGAACTCATACAGTGAAGAAATCTTAGGAGTGGAGTTAATACTAGCCTTTGGCCAAGATCTCACCTGTTTGTACTCAGAAAACACAGGGTAAACCTTTCAGATAAATAGTTGCATCACATTGTATGTCTGTCTGGGTAATCTTTTAGGGTAGGAGCTCTGAGGTTATGCGGGGAGAGCTTTCAGCAGGTTAACCTGTTCAAGTAAGAACCCTGAGACTAGAATGAGCCTGTGGGATGCAGTGGATTTCAGAACCCTGTCAGACATAAAGTGGGAAATGAAAAGCAACCAGGAGTACAGTAAGCATCAGAAAGCCTTGCAGAGGTCACACCTCATTTGCTGGTGGAAATATCCCCACTGGGGTAAACCCTAGTCCAGTAAATGAGGAAAAATCCCATGAATGCAGCAAGTAATGTCGTATTTTCGTCAAGAAGTCACAGCTCGTTGTGCATTAAGGAAATACTCTCAGGAATGAGGCTCAGTGAAAATGCTAAATATGGGACAATCTTCAGCAGGTAATCCAACTGTATTGTATTTTGGGGGAATTCATATTGTGGGTAAAACTAACAATTTAAAGACCTTGGAAACATGTGCCCCTAGAAATAAGGCTATAAAGGGAAGCCATACATTTTTTTATAGACGGGGTTATCAAAAATGCCCAATTCTAATGGTTGATATGTTCACTCTGAAGAATGAAGTTTTAAAAATATGTGAATAAATTGAGTCATTGAAACATCAAAATAAGACATTTCTCAGTGGTATTTATGGCTTATTTTCCTGTGTCACACAGTGTGTCATGTTTTGGAATCACATATGCTAATGTAATTGCAAGCATGAAGTGCACGTACCATACCTGGTGGTGCCTCCGACATCAGGACACACCATGTGCTGCTGGTTTTTCTGTTTCAGTGATACAGTAAAAACAGCAGCTGATACAGCACCTCTTATTGCGAAAGACGCAGCTTAAGTGACAGCACCACATCCTTTTTCCTTACGGCTTGTTGGCATATAGAAGGGGTCTGTTGTTGCTGACCTTCTTACAAAAGCCAACATTCTGCAACCTGAGAGAAACAATTTAAATAGAACCTGGTTGATAATTTTCAAAGGCAGGAACCACAGCCCAGCAGTAGTGACTCATGAGAGGACAAAAGAAAGCAGGTGTGTGAACTCTGTCACTCAGCACTCAGGCTAAATGGCCGTCGTGCCGTGCAAGGTCTTGTTCCCATTCAGCTTGGCGCCTTTGGCTTAAGTAGACATACTTCACGTACAATGCATGTATGTTACTTCACTCTGATGAAATACCACGATGCTGTGTGCTATTATGTTTTTGGTGTTTCTTAGAATATCTTGTAAAAAAACTAGATGGAGAAGCCAATTTAAGAGTCACTGTTCAGAAAACGTAAAATACAGATTTTTGTGGTGAGAAATATATTTTTGGTGTATTCAAGGAAGCCTGTTTTGCCTTCCTGCGAATTTCTGTGACTACTGGATAGGTGTTAGGAATTAGGATTTTCATTGTTGCATCATTTGAAATATATGTGTTTCACCTTTTGTCACCCGTTGCATCTTCTACATAGAGACTCCGCTGTGAACCTTTCATGATAAGCAGGGTTTACGTTGGCAGTGCATGAACCACCCCTTAGGTAGAACTTTGCAGTGATCTTTACAATGTTGCTTGACAAAGTAAACAGTATTCTGTGTATGATGGTGAAATTCAGAAAAGTCCAGCGCTTACCTTGTTACCAGACTTGGAAAAATCACGACTTCTCTCAAACACAAGTTGCTTTTATCAGTATGGTGTATTGCAGCTTTGATTCTAGCAGTATTTTTTTCCCCTTAGTTACCAATTTTAACATCATTGTTGAAAAATTGGGACTTAGAGAGTAATTTTCTAAACCACTGCACCAGGTTAAAAGTATCTGAGTTCCCAAATTTGTATTCATATTCAAATGTATGGACTTCCTACTCTTCTCCTAATACCTGAACATGATTTTTATCAACTTCATTTCTAAGAGAATAGTGACAGGGTGATTCTTCGTAGATTTTCCTATTTTTAAATTTTCATCTATTATGGTTCTCTTTGCTAGTCCCAGAGATTGATTCATTAGTTCTTGGATTGAGTTTGGAGTCTGTTGTCTAAAAGTGACCTAATTTTGCTGACTTCAATTCTAGATTATTCCATTTACTATTAAGTAGTTAAACCCAGTGCTTTCCTCACTAACTAATAGAACTTCGGCACTAGCCCATTGGTCTAATACCCAAGAGCAGGTTTTTTTTGAGTGCCAGGTAGCAGTCATTGGGAGGGCTAAATGCTGGCCGCAGAGGTCTCGTTTATCAGAATACCTTACGTGGAGGCCCAGCTATGTTGTGTAGAGCTCACTAGGGACTCTTTCTGAAGTCACAAGAGGGCTTTGATTCTGAAATTAGATATTTCTAGTGTTTGTCTTTTAAATTACCTTGGTAAACCACAAAAACACATGTAACCCCACATTTCCGCTCACAAATCCCACATCAGGAAGAAAACAGGTTTTAAAGTTAAGAGGGATTTATGTGCAGCTTCCTGGAGCACAACAGGTTATGTTGGTTGAATGTGTAAGGAGCCCAGGTGGAAGGAGCAACCCCTCTCTCCTCTCTCCACCCAGGTTCCCCCACTGGCCTGGAGACAGTCCTGCGGAGGATAATTCCTATTGTATTCCTTCTACTAAGTAAAGTGTGAATTTTGGGACCTGTCCCAGGAGTGCCTTCTGTTCAGCCTTTCTTTGTGGGCTTTGGTAATGAGACAAAGTTATCTCTGTGTGGATCCATGTGTTCTGGATATTTTAATTTCAAGATCAACTCTTGTAGAGCCTGGGTGAAAGGAACCCAAAGAATATCTGATTTATCCAGCAATACCTGTATCAAATAGCAGAATATAGATCAGCAGGCATTTGGAATCTACACTTGAGGCCTCCCTCATTGGTTGCTTATTCCAGTAGAATAAGCTCAGGTTGTTGATTTCACCGAACTCCTGAGTCTGCAAATACTGTACCAACAAGCCAGCCTGGGCCAAGTGCGGCCGAGCTCACCCCACCATGACCCTCGTCCATTTTCCACAGTTAGTAGTTATTTTAAGATGCAATTCTGATTATGCACTTCTCTGTTGAAAAACCACGTGGCTAATTGTGGACTTAAAGTGTACTGTCCTCACCGTAGATGAGGACTTCTGTACAAATCCAGCCTATCTGTCATTTCTGAATATCTTTCTTCCTACACAATACTTTTTTGGCCTCCTTGAACTACTTGGAGTTCCTTGAGGTTTCTACAGTTTAATGCTTTTCGCCAGCCTTCTGTCCCTGAAATGCCCGTGTTCCTTGTTGATGCCTGTCCACACTTTATGAACGTGCACACGTGTTTGTCACTGTGGTAATATAACCATTAGAAAGCTGGAAAGCTGGGACTGCGTTCTTTGTATAGTTTTAGCGACTGAAGCTGTAACATACAAGCGTGGGTGCTCTCAGTGGCTTCCCCCTACCACGTGGGGAAGCATCGTCTGCAGAAAGAGACAAGAATGAAGCCATGGAAAATTGTGCTCCAGGATCTGCTTCTTCTGGTCTTGATGTCCTGGTTCACCCCTGCCCTCTGCCTTTTTCATGCCTTGATTGTTGCATTCTTCTGTGAGATATCCCAAATATCCTTGTAATAAATTCTCATGTTTGCTTTGGCTGGTTCAAGTTGTGTTTGTTACTTACATCCCAAATATTCTTCACATAGGAGGTCAGGCTGTATCATGACTTGGATTCTCTGGAAGTGGACCCTGACAGGAAGTTTGGAATGCAAGATGCTTATGGAGGATCAGCAGCTGTGAGGTGAAGGAAGGATAAACAGCAAAGGGTGGGTCAGAGGAAGAAGGCTGCACAGAAGTGGTTGAGACCCTGGCCACACTGGTAGGGAGCTCTGAAGCAAGGGCTGCTCAGGAGTGACTCGTATTGGGCCCCGATGGTCAGGTCTCTGCAGCCCTGAGGTGCTCTGTCACCAGAGGCCTGCGGCCCTGAGAAGGGGATCATCCCATGTCAGGCAGTTTTGTTTTTTGTTTGTTTTTTTTTTTTTTTAGCTCAGGCCAACTCCACAAAGGCTGGCCACTGGAGGCAGCCTGCTGGCCTCTCTCCCTGCCCCTGGGTAGCAAGTCCTTCCTTGGAGAGGGTTGAGCGGCCCATCTCTGTCACCACAGTCCAGCCCTTCCACTGCTGAGACCCATTTTCCCAGCATTGGGTCTGTCTGAGGAGAGATTGAGGAAACAGGTCACTAGGACCAACGGGTCCCCACTGGTGGTGGTCTCTCTCACCGGGGAGCCATTCTGGGGCCTCTGCTGGCTTCGGTGGCTCACCTTCCTGAGGGGTCTGAGCCATGGTTACCATGCCCTCCCGTGACCCAAGTTGATAGTAAATGCAAGAAGCACCTAGGTGGATCACCTGAATCCATTCATTCATCCTCATCCTGTTGGGTAAGTAGCCCTACCTCCTTGTGATGCATCAGGAACCCCTAAAAAAGAGTGCCTCCTCTTCTGACCCGCTGGCTCCTGGACAAGAGGAGCACAATGCCCACGCGATACCTGTAGCTTGCAGGTAAGTAGAAGATTTGCTCTGTCTCCTGGTGAAATGTGTGTTCCCTTTGGGGATCAAGACCTGTAACCCTGCAGAGCCCAGAGTTGTGGGAATGGGAAGCACCAAGTCCCCTGGAGGTATACATTGGTAATGGTGGTGGTATGCAGACCCGTGTCTTCCGCTTTGGGGACACAGCCCCACAAAAGGTCTTCTCTAGCTTATAAGCTGCATTTGGAAGGATGGCACCCTGTCCCTACAGAATATTGCTTCTGAGCTGGGCGTTAGCCGTAGCTGGACCCTCACGAGGCCATTCCGGCTTTCTACGGAAGGTGAGTTATGTAATAAATCCAGTATACCTTTTTGTTCTGGGCATATTCTTGCACCCCCTTTGCTGCAGAGTGGTTCCTTCTGGTCTGATACAATGTATGAGGGATCCCATACTGTTCAATCATTTTGTGAGCTTTTTTTTTTTAAGATTTTTATTTGAGGAAGAGAGAGCAAGCACAAGCAGGGGGAGTGGCAGAGGAAGAAGCAGGCTCCCCGCCAAGCAGGGAGCCCGATGCGGGCTTGATCTCAGGACCCCGGGATCGTGACCTGAGCCCAACGCAGTCGCTCAACCAACTGAGCCACCCAGGCGCCCCTATTTTGTCAGCCTTTGGATAGTGGTGCTGGCTGAGGTACTGTGGGCAGAAAACCCCTACCTGGATTGTGTTTTTCCTTGTGAGAACGGTGGCCTTTTCAGGCCCAAATCGTCAACTTGACACCAAGGGCCAGTTAGTCTCCTCAGGGAATGGTGCCATACTGGGGCTCAGCCCTGGTTCTCTTGGACATTCACTAATGGCAGTAGCCAAATCAACCCTGTGAGATTCTGTGCTATTGGACAGATGGGCATTCTTGGCAATTTGGATTAACCCCTGCACTGGATGCCTGGTCTTTGGCTAAGGGTCACCATAGTAGGGAAGGCAAGATGGAGGTCTCTGAAACTCACTCCCCAGATAGGATAGTACATAAAAAACAATACTGCCCTCAGGGGAGGAGTATAGGAGGGGGTGGCAGAGGTTAGTGCTATTCTAAAAGACCTAAAGGAGGGCGCCTGGGTGGCTCAGTCGTTAAGCGTCTGACTCTTGGTTTCAGCTTAGGTCATGATCTCAGGGTCTTGGGATGGAGCTCCACGTCGGGCTCTGTGCAGTGCGTGGAGTCGGCTGGAGATGATCTCCCTCTTCCTCTGCTCCTCTCCTGCTCGTGCATGCGTGCGTGCTTTCTCTCTAAAATAAATAAAATCTTGGGGCGCCTGGGTGGCTCCCCAAGATTAAGTGTCTCTTCAGCATCGTTAAGCGTCTGCCTTCGGCTCAGGTCATGATCCCGGGATCCTGGGATCGAGCCCCGCATCGGGCTCCCTGCTCTGCGGGAAGCCTGCTTCTCCCTCTCCCACTCCCCCTGCTTGTGTTCCCTCTCTCGCTGTCTCTCTCTGTCAAATAAATAAAATCTTAAAAAAAAAAAGACCTAAAGGATACATTGGCAGAGTTCCTATTACACCGCTATCTACTTTAGTAGCTCGGGCTTTTTAGAAGCCCGGCAAACCATACAGACTACACTGACTACAAACTACAGACAAGTTCAACCAAGTAATAGCCCTGCTTGCAGACCTGGCACTGTTTTCTCAAGTTTTTTTTTTTTTTAAAGACTTTATTTATTTATTTGACAGAGACATAGCGAGAGAGGGAACACAAGCAGGGGGAGTGGGAGAGGGAGAAGCAGGCTTCCTGCTGAGCAGGGGCTCGATTCCAGGACCCTGGAATCATGACCTGAGCCGAAGGCAGATGCTTAATGACTGAGCCACCCAGGCGCCCCCTGGCACTGTTTTCTAAAGCAGATTTTTTTTTTTTTTTAAGATTTTATTCATTTATTTGACAGAGAGAGAGAGAACAAGTAGGCAGAGAGGCAGGCAGAGGGAGAGGGAGAAGCAGGCTTCCCGCCGAGCAGGGAGCCCGATGCGGGGCTCGATCCCAGGACCCTGGGATCATGACCTGAGGCGAAGGCAGCGGCTTAACCGACTGAGCCACCCAGGCGCTCCTCTAAAGCAGATTTATATGCCCTCAGGTACATAGGATACAGACTTTGATTTGACAAATGCATTCTTTTTATCCCACTCAGGAAAAGAGATCAGAAGATGTCTGTATTAACATGGAGTGGACAACATTATACATTCACAGTTTGCCCCAGGGCTGCCGTCACAGTCTGAGGAGGTCCAGACAATCTGGACATAGTCTGGTAACAGTGAAATTGTGCCCATCTAGCAGGATGATGGAGAGGTGGCTAGCACACTGGAGACCCTGATACCCCAGGTACATTCCAGGGAGAGGTGACAAGCCCTGAAGGTTAGCAGCTTACTGCTGAAGATAGCATGTGACTCACATTGCTTTATATATATTATTCAGGAAGTTTTGGTAGGCTGTTTTTCTAGTAATTTATATTTACTGACATCAAATCATAGATATTATCTTTGGATCTCTTCTGTATCTGTAGTTACGCTGAATTTTTCATTTATATTTATTTGTGAATTTTCTTTTACTCTCATTCCATCTTGGCAAAAATTTTGCTATTTGTTAGCTTTTACAATGAACAAGATTTTGATTTTGTTGAGCCATCAGTATCTTTTTTCTGATTAGTTTATTATGTGGAATCTTGGACATGACAGAGGCTCATACAAAGATAGGATGTCAGAAACTCCTTGGCATAATATGGATTTAAGGAAATATGACAATACAGGTTTGTTACGAGTAATCCAC